ACTTTAAACAAAATCTCTAAAAAAAATCAAATTGATTATACCCCATTATGGTTTTTTTTTTTTTTGTTAGAATGAATGGTGTTTGTGGTGGATTATGGGCGAAAAATAAGGAATACTTGATTAATTGCGGAATTCGATATGGAATCAACATTGGAAATCAATTTATCTCCAGATTATAGCTGGTAAGAAATTATGTTTTGAAAGGGGAAGTGTTACGTGATTTTCTAATTCTGTCTTGGTTTAGCAGGTCCGGGCCTAATTATTCCAAGAAGAAACCACACATTTGGGCCAATTCTAATGGGCTGTATGTCGTGGTATCGGAATGACGGCCCAAAACTTTGATATAGGTGGTTATAATGCCACTTATTTTTCGTTATACTTATTCTTAATTAATTTAGCACACAAAAATCGGATGGGAGGGATTAAAATCGGATTAAAATTGAAAATATAGCCGTTATTGTTGACTTTTATTAGACGGGTGGGACCCAATAACGGCCATATTTTCAATTTTAATTGGATTTTAATCCCTCCCGAACGGGGCCTTAATCTTCTTCTGNACCTAATGAAAACATGAGTTAGGCATTGTATGGGAGGGATTAAAATCGGATTAAAATTGAAAATATAGCCGTTATTGTTGACTTTTATTAGACGAGTGAGACCCAATAACGACCATATTTTTAATTTTAATTGACTTTTAATCCCTCCCAAACGGGGCCGTCTTTTTCAGGGTGCAAATTATGATTTCAAATAACACAAAACAGAAAAAAGTCAGCATACCATCTTTCCTATTCACACAAATTACGTCTTTTTCTTGGTAAGAAAGAGATTTGCGAGGAAAGAGTAATTTGAAAGCAACCCTGAAAACCTCCAAAATCAACGGAGCATCACGACGGAAGTCTTGTCAATTAACTTCCGGCATGGGTGTTCCATTGGCCGCCACATACTGCCGGAACAGTTGACAATAACTAGTGCCTTTCGGTCCTCATTTCACATTTGCATGTCTCCAAATTTCATCTTTAATACTTTAATTTTCCACATTTGACTAATAGTTAGACTAGTTATCACTAGTCTTGGACAATGTCAAGAATTGAACTCGATGGAGAGACTTGTTCACAGTATTTTCCACGCGTTCAGACTTCAAATGTAACCCCAAAAGGACCATTTGCCCATGCCTTGTGGACCACGAACTGTTGGAGAGGAATTTTGCTACACAGACATAATGCTTGACATAGAAGATAACACAACACACACATGGAGGAGGTCAGTATTATTTAATTCGGGTCTGGACCCACATGTAATGTGAGATGTCGGTCAACCTCTATGTCAAGTATTATGTTCATTTAACTTAATTCGTTGGAGAATGCGTGATTAAAAAGTAGGAAAAAAATTATAAGTTTACGTGTAAAATTGTTTTATTGAAAAAATATGTGATTGAAATTGAGTTTGGAGAAAATAAGTTTTAAAGAATCAAATACCAAACAAGAGTTAAGTAAAATGCAGACTTTTTGAGTAAGAATTGATCGTCGAGAAATATGTCTTCATTTCAAACTTAAACCTTTGACCCCTTCTAGAGATGATGGGATAATCCAATAATATATCACATCTCTTTTTGTTTTGACTTAATTTTTTCTACACATACTTATTTGACGACCAATATGTTACACGACATGCTTAGCATTAGTTGGATATTGCTATA